TTAAAGATATTAAAGATAACAAAACAGGCAATATCGTCTATGTGTTGTGGCAGTTGGCAGTAATCATTGAGCAGTTGGCAGTAAGCAGTTGGCTTTGATAAATGGAAATATGGAATTCCATATATATGGAATGCCATATACGACAGCCAACTGCTCACTGCTTACTGCCAACTCTCAGCTGCTTACTGCCAACTGCCACACATATTTGAATATTTTTCATATTTTCGTCGATATTTATGTGAATTGTCAAAAAAAAAAAAAAAAAAAAAAAAAATCAAAATAAAAAAAAACATTATGGAATGTCATATAGTCCTACGACAGGCATTTATTTATTTTTATTATTTATTTATAATATATTTATTATTTCATTTATGTGAATTGTCAAAAAAAACAATTCAAAATAAAAAAAAACATTATGGAATGCCATATAGTTATACGACAGGCAAATGCTTACTGCCAACTGCTTACTGCTTACTGCCAACTGTCAGATGCTTACTGCCAACTGCCACACATATTTGAATAAATTTTCATATTTATATTGATATTTATGTGAATTTTCAAACAATAATCAAAATTAAAAGAAATGGATCCAGGATTTTTTTCAGGAGTATGTAATGCAATATACGACAGCCAACTGCTTACTGCCAACTGCTGACTGCTTACTGCCAACTGTCAGCTGCTAACTGCCAACTGCCACACATATTTGAATAAATTTTATTTTTATATTGATATATATGTAACTTTAAAAAAGAGGCGCGGATCTATAGGGCATTTTTTCCAAGAGGGTCACTCTGATAAAAAAAGAATCCAAACCAGAAATTTCTTGACAAGAAAAAAATTACGTAAAGTCCTTTCCTAACTGTGAAAATTTATTTCGGCCGGGGAGAGGGGGTTTTTATGCGTCATACCTTCATGTGTATTACATTTTTCATACCAACTTAACACGAATCCACATTTTCGGTTGGGGGGGGGGGGGTTCTAAGATCCCTTTTAGTTGATTTATTTTATACATTAATAACTTTTAGTTGGTTTAGTTCGTGCATTAAATAACTTTACAAATTATAGAGGGGTGTTCCGGACCACTCTCTCTAGATCTATGCATGTAAAACATATTTTATTTGTACAAACAAAGAGATATAAATGTTTGATCGGCGTTTTCTAAGTGGAGGGTCCAAGGTCAGTTATACCGGTAGTTCGTTCCAGATCTATGCATGTAAAACATTACAGGGACGTAGCAACAGGGGGGGGGGGGCTGGCCCCCCCCCCCCACTTTTTTCCCCAACATTACCTTTACTATTGTATATTGAAAGGATGGTTGCCCCCCCCCCCACCCCCCCACTTCTTACCATAGTATAATGATATCAAGGATATGTAGTATTGTGTGGAAAAAAATGTAAGTGAAAGGTAGTTGGCCTTAAAAAAAGTTAGCCACCTACCCCCACCCCCACCCCCCCGAAATAGGATTTTCGAGTTTGGGCTATTTCCTTTTTTTCTTTCTTTTTTTTTTTTTTTTTGCTTGTCAACTTTTTCAGGTAAGTAAAAAAAATTTTCTCTGGTTGCCCCCCCCCCCACTTTCAAAAACGATGCTACGTGCCTGCATTATAACACACAGAGATATACATCTTTAATTTGAGGAAATTTTTAACTATAGAATATAATGGAAAACGGAAATTTATTTTCAAAACATCTTTCTCTGCAAATCTTTTTTATTATTATTCTCTCTTCAAAGGTTTTGTTGCCTCCGGGGGAAGGGAGGGAGGGGGGGTCTTTAAAGATTAAAAGCAGAAAAGTCATTTTATTACCTATTTCAAATAGGAAAACAAATAAAAAAAAATAAACAATGTACTTTATCAACCGCATATATTGAATATTACATAAGATAAAACATACTGGTCATTTTATTCAATTCAATTTTACCAGGGTGACCCCCCCCTGGAAAAAATGTCCTGGATCCGTGCCTTTTTTCCCTTTTTTGTGAAAATTCATATAAATATCAATACAAATATAAAATTTATTCAAATATGTGTGGCAGTTGGCAGTAAGCAGCTGACAGTTGGCAGTAAGCAGTCAGCAGTTGGCAGTAAGCAGTTGGCTGTCGTATATGGCATTCCATACAGGAGGGATCCACACCAGTAAAAATAAATCGGAATAAACTCAGAAATTTCTTGACAAGAAAAATAACGTAAACTCCTTTAGTAAACATTAAAAATTATTTTGGCGGTGTGGGTGGGTTATGCTCCATATCTTCATACCTATGAATTTTCATACAAATTAACTTAATACAGATCCGCGTTTTCGGGGGGGGGGGGGGGGGGGGGGGGGTTCCAAGGTCAGTTTTAAGTACTTATTCTAAAAACCATTGACAAAAAGTTAATTGCTCTTATGTATAACTCCTTTAATAAGGGGAAGATTTTATCAATTGAAATCAGACTGAACATTTCATCAGATCTTTAAATACTAATGAAAATGGATAAATGACTCCTTAATCTCATCGTATGTTTTTATTAATGTAAAAATTCAACATATGAGATTGATAAAGTATATTATTTTTTATTTGTTTTCTTATAAAATGACTATTTTCCTGTTTTAAATCCCCCCTTACATGAGACAATAAAATCTTTGGAAAGGATAAAAACTGAAAAAAGGATTTGTTTTTGATTCACAGGGAAGTTATTTTAAAAATAAATTTCAATTTCCTGTTAATTATGAACCTTTGAACATTTTTCTCAAAGGTTTATATCTCTGTGTTTTTACAAAATAAGTTATGTTATATATGCACAGGGGGGGGGGGAGGGGGTCCGGACCATCCCTTTGAAATTTGTAAAGGTATTTCATGTACACATTAAACCAACTGAAATTTATATAATGCATAAATTAAAAGGGACCTTGCCTCCCCCCTAAAACGCGTACCCGTGTTCAATTGAAAAATCTCGTAGACTTAAAGCATGAGAACCCCCCCCCCCACCCCCGCCAAAATAATTTTTCACATTTAGGAATTTAACTGAGTTTACTTTTTTCTTGTCAAGAAATTTCTGGGTTGGTTTTTTTTCTACCCGGGCGTCCCTCTTGGAAAAAAAAATCCTGGATCCGCGTCTGTTTTTTGAAAATGCACATGAATATATCAAAATAAATATGAAAATTTATTCAAATATGTGTGGCAGTTGGCAGTAAGCAGTTGGCTGTCGTATATGGCATTTCATATATATACGACAACCAACTGCTTACTGCCAACTGTCAGCTGCTTACTGCCAACTACCACACATATTTGAATAAATTTAATCTACATGTATATTGATATTTATGTGAATTGTCGAAAATCAAGGCGCGGATCCAGGAATTCTTTTCCAGTAGGGGTCCACACCAGTAAAAAAATATCCAACCCAGAAATTTCTTGACAAGAAAAAAAAATCAGATGAACTCCTTTCCTAGGCGTGAAAAATTATTTGGCGGGGGTGGGGGTGGGAAGGGGTTGGGTTTGACATATTATATTTCATATCTTCATATTTATGACTTTTCATACCAACTTAACTCGGATTTGCGTTTTCTAAGGGGGGTGGGGGGGGCTAAATTCAGTTTTAGTTAGTTTAGTTTATGCATAACTTGACTGTACAAGTTTTAAAGTTGTGGTATATATCACCCCGGCCCCCTCCCCCCCCCATTCTAGATGTGTTCATGTAAAACATTTTCAAAACATCTTTCCCTGCGAAACAATTTAAAAAATCCTTTTCTCTCCAAAGGTTTTGTTGTCTCACGGGGGAAGGGGGAGACACGTTTTTAGAGATTTAACACAGAAAAAAAGTCGTTTTATTGCCAATTTCAAATGAGATAACAATTATGAAAACGTAATAACATTGTTATTACTTTATCAAAATCATATTTAGTATGTTGGATATTACACAAGTTAAAACATACGGTAAGATTTAAGAGCCATTTATCCATTTTTTTTTTTGAGTATTTGAAAATCTTGTGAGGTTTTCAGCCTGATTTCATTTTAAAAATTCCTAAATACTTCAAATTTTGTTATTACTAGTATTGTGAGAACTACGCACACTAACTCTCGATTCCTGTACACGTTTTCTTTTTCTCTTTTTAATTCAATTTATTAATTGATGTAGTGATACATCATTAGTATTTAGCACTTATTCTAAAAACCAGTGACAAAAAGTTAATTGCTGTTATGTACAACTCCTTTGATAAGGGGGTAGAAAATTTTATCAATTGAAATCAGGCTAAAATATCTTTTCAAATACTCAGGAAAATGGATGAACGACTGCAGTAAGCAGTTTGCTGTCGTATATGGAATTCCATTTGGAATTCTATAGTTTAGTTACTTTATTTTGACGAGTTCTAAACTTACAAAAGCCCGTTGAGCTCATTTTCGTAGGTTAATTTTTTTTTCGCATTATAACGCGAAAGTTTCGCGAAAGTTACGCGTTTATTCGCGAAAGTTTCGCATCTATTCGCGAAAAATTTATTTTTTTGACCTACGAAAATGAGCTCAATGGGCTTTCATAAAAACTTATTCACAAATTTCAAATTAAAAATTATTTAATATCCTGATTTGTAAAGACCCTATGTTAACTTTTTAACGCACCTTTATAAGAAGCATATATAAGTGTAATTTTACATGATATATCATTAATGAAGATAGAAGACGTCTTGTTAAATGCAACGGGAATCTTCTTAATTTTATGTTTGTGTGTATTTCAAAGCCTGAATTTAAGTGTTCATAATCAATAAAATCTGTTTCTATAATCTGTGTGTACAAATAGAAACCATAAAACTTATGAAGTGATATTGATATGATAAATGTGTGATTATTACTCATTTAAAATCCACTTTATCATGCTAAATTCAGGGAAAACCCCTTAATGTAAAGTGTCATTATCATAATGTTCTTATCTATGTTATGTAGAATTGGCAGGTGTTACATATCGTTTTTTTTTTATAGCATTTGATATTTTAACAGTAATACACCTATCTGTAGAAATTACCGAGAGTCGCATATATATCTCTTTCAATATATCAGGCAGATTCTGTTTGCATTTGGATAGTCAGAGAGAATGAGGCCTCTTCTTCTTTTGACGGCGTTGATTGTCAGTATCAAGGCAAGGGACTTCTCTTTGCTAACTGGTTCTGAAAAGCACAACTCCACAGATATAAAAGATGATGGACAAGCGACCAAGTGTAATGAAATGGAATTTATAAAATATATGCTTAACCAAGGCACTGGTGTTGGCTTAGCTGTGGCCAAAAATGTTCATACATTAGTGGGAGACGTTGATTCTATAAAGCAAAGTATCGAATCGGCTGAGAGTGCGATGAACAACTTTCAACAGACGATAGAGACATTGCAAACTAAAATCAACACCCTTCAGTTGGAAAACCAGCGTCTTGAAAGCATTGTAGTAAATTGCCAGGGTACGATTAAAAAATATGACGAAAAGCTGAAAACTGCAGACAAAATGATCCAAGCTTTCTCCGAACGCCTAAACGTCACTGAAACAAAAACGAATGAGGATCGTCAGGCCCTGTTAAATCGAACAATTATTTTTGAAGATGTTCAGATTGATGTTAAGAATCTTTCCATGAAGCAAGAAGACCTCAGTAACTCAGTTTCTAAACTAGAAGGCTGGGCAAGGAAGATAGAGTATAATCAGCTAAATATGACATCAACGCTGGCTTTGTTAGAAAGTATCACAATGGAAACATCAAAAGAACAGAATGGTAAGACTATATAATTTTAAAATTTTTTTTTTGATCTTGTTTATTTAACTTGCCTCATTTTCTAGGGGGATACATTAAGCAACCATTATGTATACCCCAAAACTTAAAGTGACAGTATATGGAGCATCAAAAAAAAAAAAAAAAAAAAAAAGAAGAAGAAGAAAAAAAAAACAACAACAACAAAAAAATCAATAAACATTTTCCAATAGGTTTTGAAATGTTTTTTTACTACTCATAAATGTATGCACTTTCAGAAAATTACAAGTTTCATATACGTATATAATTCTAATTATTTCATTAAAATTAAAAATTATTTATGGTTCTCAAACTGCTGACTTCATCGTATATTCGGCAAATTTCAGTCGTTCTGTCGCTTTAAAATTGTGATTTAAATTTCAATCTCTCATCTTTCGAATCGGACGAACACTATTTTTTTTTCTTCAGATAAACGGCATGATAATGGAAAGAGTATAGTTGCATTTACGGCGGGATATGACCAATTTTCACAACAAGATATAACGAGAACCGATATGGTATTTCCAAAGGTCATCACAAACATTGGAGGAGGTTATAACCCACGTGATGGGGTTTTTACAGCACCCATTAATGGAAACTATGTTTTCTACACAGCCATTGTGTCTTGGGATAATGGAAACATAGCAACAGATATAGTTTTGAATGGTAAAAGTCAAGTCCGAACATTTGCAGATAGCAGAGGATTCCAGACGAAAAACCAAGAATACGTTTACCAAACTGGAACCAACTTGGTTTGCCTAAGCTTACAGTCTGGAGATAGAGTTTGGGTTAGGAAGTATTCTGGAGTTGGTTTTATCATTCTTTCGGTGCCCATGCACACATTTTCAGGATTTTTGTTGCAGAATTAATATTTCTGTTTTAAAGTAGAACATGGTCTCTCCAGATGACCAGTGTTAATTTCGACAAAACCTTTTCGGGGTTTTCCTCAACTACCTGTATTATATTTGTTCTGAAACATTTTAAAATTTAGAAGCGGCTCAAACTCACAAAGATATTGTTACTAAATTGTTGTAAATTTTACTCATGTTTTACATTAATTCAATGTATAGAGAATGAATCTTTTAAAATTTTATGGAATTTCCAGAAACATGTACCTATATGGATATATTTTGGGGAAGAAAAAGCTAAGGGAAAGACCATAATATAATAATACATATACACGTAGTGTAATTGCCAATTATATAGTATATACACCGATTTTATGATATTTTATCTGCTACAATGTATGCAATAAAAGTAAATATAGTCATGTGTTCTTTCTCATTAAGAAGAAGGTATGGTTTTAGCTTTATTGCGCCCTAAAAATGTAATGACATCAAAAAGTTTTGAAACTGGCTAAAAATATTAGTTGAACTAGAGCAAAGCTCGTTGCAAAGCAACGAGTAGGTCTTCCGTCCTGTTTGACCGGAAGTAGCTTTCATTTTTAACAAAAATGAGAAGAAACGCCCAAAAATGCTTTGAATCCTCTCAAGCTATGTTAATTAATGCAGAGATGAGCCATTTTTTGCTACTTCCGGTTTGACCGGAAGTGACGACGACGCACGGAAAATTAATTTTTAAGCTCCAAGAGACATATGTTACCCAAAAACTTGTCAAAAACGGCAAATATACGCGTTTTCCGACTACTTCCGGTTTGGCCGGAAGTGACGACGCTGGACGTGTTTGACGACTCCATTAGATTAAGCATGACATTTTCAACAACTTCGCTTCTTTGATGTATAACAAATTCTCAATACTTTTTGAGATATCTGGAAAAAACTTTTGGCACCTCTAGATCCCTAAATGTAGGGGTCAGCCCTTTTTCCGACATAACATTTGAAAGATCTTTTAATTCTGCAAAAATTATGTTCAATATATTTTAACAAAATATTTTTAGTTTAGAAGATAAAAAGCAAAATATGAGTAATTTTTGGTTCTTTTAAACGTTCTAATTTTTGACCCCTATATAGCGCCATTTTGAATACAGAAATCGAAAAACAAAAACCGATGTGCACAACTTCAATCCTTCTATTATCTAAAATCAGTTGAATTTCTGCTCCAGCTCTAGCCGTCTCTGAGCCTTTGTCTGGAAACGAAAGCCTATAAATTTTCGTTTAAAGGGAAATAACTCAAAACCGGAAGTGACTTTTTGAAATTTTAGTCAGCATTCTGATAGAGTTTATAAACTTCTATAATCTCTGAAAATTTGAGCGAAATCCGTTGAGAAATGAGTGAGATATGAGGCCTCAAAGTTGCGGTCTAGGAAGCAGAAGAAAAAAAAGAACTAGAGCCGAGCTCGTTGCAAAGCAACGAGTAGGTCTTCCGTCGGAACTGCGGACAGGGAGAAATGACCTTGGGTCAAGGTCATGCCACGTTCTAATGTTAAAGCAATCTTTTAAGGGTAGATGTTATCTTATTTATGTTTTACTATTAAAAAAGATAGTAAAGGAATGTTTGCGATCTTGACCTTGTTAAAATGACCTTACGTCACACCATGCCATTTGTGTGCTACCGTATTGACGAATTCTTAAGCTATACTTTTTTCGATAGGCCTTGTCGCAGCTAATACGTGTATACATGTGTAAATCTAGGTATGAAAGCGTTATCCTTTCTTTATCAAAAGTCATGGTCAATTTTAAGCAATGTTTAAAGCCGGTTAAACTTCAAGGTCAAAGTTCATTATATGCTAGTATTTGAAATGATTTTATCACAGGTTACATACATTTGATTTTTGTGTAATACGAAAACCCTATCTCTTCTCATTCAAAAGTTATGATCAAGATTAAAATTGTGAAAAGTAAGTCAAGCCTCAAGGTCACGTTGTCAAAATCAGCGTATCGGTATTTAAAAAAATGTTGTTACAGGTAATACACAGTGGTAAAATAAAAGCCCTAATCGATCTCTTTTCTCTCAAAAGGTATGACTATGGTTAATGTTTTTGAAAAGTGGGTCAAACTTCAAGGTCAAAGGGTCAAAAATCATAATGAATTTTCAAAGGCGTTGACACAGGTATTACATGTACATGTTTATAAAATGAAAGCTTTCAATAGTTATGGTCAATTTAAAGTAATGTTATTTTTTAAGTAGGTCAAGCTCCAAGATCAAGGTCACGGGGTTAAAAATCACAGTATATTTGAAAATCACAAGTCACAAATAATGCACATGTTAAATAAGAAAGTCCTATTTCAACTCATTCAATAGTTATTATCAAGTTTAAAGTTCTCGTGACAGATGGACACTGTCAGACTGGTTGACAAATAAGGTTTAATGTGCCCTAATAAAAATAAATACACGTTATTTGAACATGATAAATTGAGAAATACGAAGAATAAAACATAGGTAATCAGAGATTACAGAGCTCACCTCAACGAATGTTGTCTTTGAGTAAGGCAAAGTCACACAATTAACCAACAAGAAGTGTACATTCCAAAAATGAAAATATTTAAGCAATTTTAATCTGATTTTGAAATAGACCTACATAAAAAATATAAACTAGTTCTTCTTCATGAAAATGTAATTAAAATCCAGCATCTGAAGCAAATTTGAGAGTTTTCATCTCTTGATGCAACATTTGCGCAAGTTTGGTTTATACAATGTTATATAAGCCTTATAGTTTATTGGTAATAGACCTGCACCCATAACTTTTACCTGGTCTATTATCTAAAAATGTATGTCGAATTCAGCATCTGAAGCAAGTCCATTAGTGTGCATCCTAAGATTTATCATCCATGCAAGTTTGCTCATTATAGGGCTCATAATTAATTGGAAATGAAACATGCATCAAAAACTAACATTTTCACTCATCAACAAAAAGTAGGTCAGATTCAGCATCCGAAGCAAGCCCGGTAGTATGCATCCTATTATGTATCATCCATGCAAGGTTGGTCATTAAAGAACTCATAGTTACTTGGAAATGAATCATGCACCAAAAACTTTAACCTATTCACTCAACTGGAAAATGAAGGTCAGATACAGCATCCGAAGCAAGCCTGGTAGTATACATCCTTATATGTATAATCCATGCAAGTTTGGTCAACATAGGGCTTATAGTTACTTGGAAATGAAACCTGCACCAAAAACTTTACCCTGTTCACTCAACCAGAGAATGTAGGTCAGATTCAGCATCCGAAGCAAGCCCTGTAGTGTGCATCCTTAGATGTACCATCCTTGCAAGTTTTGTCAACATAGGGCTTATAGTTACTTGGAAATGAAACCTGCACCAAATACTTTAACCTGTTCACTCAACTGGAAAATGTAGGTCAGATTCAGCATCCGAAGCAAGCCCGGTAGTATGCATCCGTAGATGTATCATCCATGCAAGTTTGGTCAACATAGGGCTTATAGTTATTTGGAAATGAAACCTGCACCAAAAACTTTAACCTGTTCACTCAACCGTAAAATGTAGGTCAGATTCAGCATCCGAAGCAAGCCTAGTAGTATGCATCCTTAGATGTATCATCCATGCAAGTTTGGTCAACATAGGGCTTATAGTTACTTGGAAATGAAAATACACCAAAAACTGCACCAAAAATGTTAACCTGCTCCAAAAACATTAACCTGGTCATTCCTTTGCTGAAATTGCAGCATCTGAAACTTTGACTGGTACGATGAATCACACTAGAACCATCTTCCATGCATGTCTAATCAATATAAGACATTGAAGTACTTAAAAAGAAAACTGCTCCAAAAAACTTAACCTTAACCTGGGACGCCGACGCCGACACCGACGCCGACGCCGAGGGTATTACATAAGCTCCCCCAACTTCGTTGAGGTGAGCTAAAAACTAGAAAATATTAGAAAAAAATTGCACTGAAGCTATATTCAATATCCGTGTTTTTCAACTGCTTGAATCTAAAAATATTGTTTACCGTGTGTCTCTAACACATTCCTTAAATTTTTCTACAGTTAAACATTCCTTACAACCGTTTTTAATAGTCCTTCTGAGCCTGAACTTGAGATAAAATGGATGGCACTGTAGCTCTCTGGTGATCCATCTCAATTTTTTTTAGAACAGCTAGCGAGCTACAGATCTGCAGCATGACAATTGTCATAAAGTTAATTTTACAAATTCATTTGAAATGTAACAGAATTGAATTTTATGAAAAGAATTATTTCTGATGCTTATTTTTAATATATGCTAAAATTATTTGCCTATCAAGTTAAGTTAAGACAGTAAAAAGGAATTTGATACTCAGTATTTATCTAAGGAATTAGTGTCAATCCTCAACCTCAAAGAGCGTTCGACTTGTATGATAATTGCGTACATGTGTAATGAAACTGCCGTGAACTATCCCGGACGTGAACATTAGATGTACTGGACATTCCGTCATCAAGAAAATATAGTTTTACTCTGGACTATTCCGAGTTACCAAAACGTTTGTATGTATGTCCATGTGTGAGCGTTTCAACCTGTCTTTGTTTTATGTGACTTCACTTGATTTATTTTTCAAAATACAAACTTTAACGTTTTATTAATGTTTTATTGCTTGACTTTCGTTTTATAAATCACTTGTGTTACTGTCACCAATTATATTCTATTAACTTTGTTTAATTGTCGGAAATCAATGCAAATTCAGGAAATCAAATGCAGCGAAAACTGGTACCCCCCCCCCCCCAAAAAAAAACAAACAAACAAACTAGTACATGTAGTACATGTACACACTTCGATGCTCGATTGTATACTCTAGAAATTAAAAAGTTTATGAATAAAAAAGTTTAGTGAGGCATACTCATCTTTGCCGACCTTTTCTTAAATTTATTTGACAACCTGCGAATTAAAAACAATATCGCGTATGATTTTTGGTTAATATCAGAAAAAATTGCGATGTTGTTTAAATTAGCAATTACAAATAAACATGACAAATGCACACAGTAAATTGTAAGTGGAAGTGACGTTTTCAATTCTCATGAAAATCGAAAATAAAATTAAGTAACTTTGAGTTTTGCATAATTTGCTACATAACTTATCATTGTATTTTTCCGAATGATATGCTCATAAATTTCTTTTATTTCCTCAAA